CGCCGGTGGGAGGAACCCTTGGGTTTGTAACTCTATCAAACGGCTATGAGGAACTGAACACTCTCCCCAATCCCCCGACTTGGAACGAGGAGGGCGAGCAAAAGAGCTGCGACGGCCTGCCATGTTGGAATGGTTTTTCGTAGAGCGCTCTATTGGATGCTTGCTCAGGGAGGGAGAGTGAGGTTTGGATCTGAGAATCCCCGTCCCTTCAAATAGACGGTCAGCCCGAACGATCGAGGGTGGCAAATGCAAAAATGCCTCGGCCCCTCGCATTCGCTCGACACGTGGAGATGGTTATTATTGAGACACTAAAGCCGGGGAATACAACATTGATGGGAAGCCGGACACTATTCGTCGTAACAAATACTTTGGAGTATTCGGAGATGGAACCCGCCTTGCAATGCTGAAGACAAGACTGCGCGCCGGCCTCATCTTCATTGAAGCCTGGTTCAGGGCCTACTGAGGGAGTCCTGGATTAGGGGGTATCCGGACAAGTCGGACTGTATACATCGTCCGGACTATTGAAGCCTGAAGATACAAGACTCAAGACTTTGGCCCGTGTCCGGATGGGACTCTCCTTTGCGTGGAAGACAAGCTTGGCGATCCGAATACTGTGTTTCCTTCCTTGTAACCGACTCCATGTAAATCCTAGCCCTCTCCGGTGTCTATATAAACCGGAGAGGTTGGTCCTTAGAAGGCCGATCACAATTATAATCATACCATCGTAGGCTACCTTCTAGGGTTTAGCCTCTACGATCTCGTGGTAGATCTACTCTTGTACTACCCATATCTTCAATATTAATCAAGCAGGAAGTAGGGTTTTACCTCCATCGAGAGGGCCCGAACCTGGGTAACATCTGTGTCCCTTGCTTCCTGTTACCATCAGTCTTGACGCACAGATCGGGACCCCCTACCCGATATCCGCCGGTTTTGACACCGACAGCTGCCGCCGAGGAAGCTCGTTCGCGCCCGCACACCTCAAATCCCGTGGTGGAAGAGATGCCGAAGAGGTGGGGGGGGGCAATTGACGCGTGAGGATGGAGGAGGAGCCCGCACACCTCGGATCACGTGGTGGAAGAGAAGCGGGGGCACCTGACGCGGGAGGATGGAGGAGGAGCCCGCACACTCCGGATCACGTGGTGGAAGAGAAGGGGGGCACCTGACGCTGGAGGATGGAGGAGAAGGAAGCGAGGAGGAGGAGGAGGAAGCGAGCGAGGCGGCTAGGGTTCGTGAGAGAGGAGGGAAGGGGATTGGGTGTGCGTGTGCTATACCTGGCCAAACCTCGGGCCGGGCCGGGCTTCGGGTCGGCCCTAGCCAAGCCCGACACAAAAAACCCAGGCCCGGGCCCGGCCCGGCCCGACCATCAGGCCTGTGTTTCTGGGCCCGAGCCCGGCCCGAGCACGTAAAAGCCCGACGGGCTTCGGGCCGGCCCGGCCCGATCTTCAGAAAAATGCAAAAACGACGGGCCCGGGCCCGGCCCGGCCCGGCTTTCGGGCTCAAAAACTAGGCCCCCGGCCCGGGGGCAGCGTCGGGCCGGGCCGGGTCAGGCTTTTTCGGGCCGGGCCGGCCGGGCCGGGTTTCCCATGGCCAGGACTAGTGTGTGCCACAGCTCGGAGGAGCGGGGGAGATGCGGGCCGCTCGCTCGCTCGCTGTTTTTTTCTGTTCGCTCGCAGTGCACTATTTACAGGGGACGTGGACGCTGCGGTTGTGCCTACTACCCAGCTCATCCTTTATATGTTCGAGTTCGATGTTCGATGTCATCCTCGAAGTGGTTGTCAAAGTGAAAATTGTGAGCAAGCATCAAAAGAGTGAAAAAAATGCCGAATGTACTCTATGAAAACAACGGTGGATGGGCTGATCTCGAGGATCCACGCGGTTCAGAGCTATGAGTTGTGACAGAACAAGCTCGTGCCAGTTGCACATGGCCTCCTAGCACACGGACACGTACGGCCGAAACGCAGCACGGTGCTCCTCAGGTAGCTAGGGCCATAGGCCCATAGCACATGATGCTACGACGTCCATCCGCAGGCCGCACCCCCAGTTAGCGTGAGTTGTTCCCACATGTCAATCAGTCAATGCCTGGTCGAATGACTATTTTTCCTTGCGAGGTGTGGTGCATAGCTCACAGCAGATCGGTACTGCTTTGACACGCTAGTGCATACTATCTGACTATCTGTAAGAGGGTAGTACCTTGTGAACGATTTTGTGCGTCTTAGAAATTCAACAGTAAGTGAAGCGGCCGGGAAAGAGCTACGTAGCATTTCAGGTGGATGAAGCGAAGGCTGGTCGTCGTGTACAGTCTAGAGACAAATCCAGTCTCCAGGGTCCTACTTTGTTCTCCGGAATCATTAGCCATTCGGAGCTACGCGCCGGAGTCACAATCGAATCATCAATTAGAGGCCCACGTTCCATCAACAAACAATTAGAGGCCCATTCCTAAGCATGGCCCGGCAAAGCTTTGTTTGCGACCGCATGCCGCTGCATGGCAAACTGTCGTAGCTACTAAGCAGTGATGTCCGGCATCTCTCTCTCGGCCATCCAGTGCAATTCTACAGTAAGGATCACACTGCCTGTTCTGCCACAGTTGTGACAGTAACACGTACCACACCCGATCGGGACGCGAGCTGTTCGGGGTTACGAGCAGCCGTGGACAATCTCGTCCGACTCCACGGGGCGACGCCATTGCTGGATCACAGAGCCATGCATCACGTACGCCAGCCATTCATGCAACCGGCCGTGACCGACGCGGCGCCCCACTCCTCCGTGGCCGGGCAGCTGCTAGGCCAACAGAAAACCCACGGCGCCCGGGCTCGATGGCCGTGGCACGCGCTGCCTCATTCCCGCCGCTCCGACAGACAGACCGGCCGCCGTGCCGTAGCCATCGCCGATTGCGCACGGACGCAAGTATAGTAGGAGAGGCAATGATAGATGGGTGGTGGGAGTATCAGCGTACGCCGGCACGCCGCTATCTGGTCCGTCCCAGCAGGCAGCAAGCAATTGTTAATTAGCGCAGCTGTACTGCCGCGCGCGCAGCCGATGCCTCTGTCCGTATCTGCTAATCCGCCGACGGGACCACGGCAAGTATGGCCATTGAAGCAAGTTATTATCACGGGGTGGGGGTCAGGTTGGCGCAAGAGCAAGACACAACAAGGTTTGGAGCAATCAGGTGCAAGGCCATGGAGCATGTGCGACGGGACGACGCGCGGCGACGTTTCAAAAGGATAAGGACGGCCGGCGATCGAGGTTGCACTTGCACGGAGCTAGGTATAGCACACAGGCCGTGCGCACCAAAGCAGGAAATGTGGACGTAAATAAATGCTAGACTGAGGGTTGGCTTTTACTATTGGTTTATTTTTTGGCACCCTTGGAGAGAAGTGCTGCATCGATGGGGAACTGTACATGCAGTGGCCCTAGCTATCCTAGTGAGCGAGGGTGCAGGACATTGGATCCCTTTCCAGCCCCGGCGCCATGAGCGTGGATACGGCTCGTGTTAAGCGGGGGCTACTCTGACACTCACGCTATCTAGATCTAAACAAGTCAATGATCCTGCAACCTCGCCGAAATTTAACGAGTCTCATGCGTATACCCCTGCTGCTACAGTACCTCTTTGGGCTGAGTAGCTGGCACGCATGGCCCCGATACATACACGAGGCAGCAAGAAAACACCAGGGATCACGGACTAGGCTAGGCGGTAGTACTGGACGGGGAGCTTAACAACAGGCGGCGCCGTAGTGATCCCCGTTCCGGAATCAATGCGTGGCAGACAATAACTAGGGAGATTGTATGTACACACGCGTCGTGGTACGCCAGTCAGTAGCTGCGGTCACGTACCTCTCGTGTACATACTCGGGGCTAGTCTGCATGCATACTATACTACCAGGAAGTATGAGTAGCCACGCGTTGCGCCAAATGGCAAGCATGCCATGCCCGGCGCACACGCGCACCGTGGTGACCAGTCCTCAGGCCGTCACGCGGCACGGTAGCAGGGCGTCCTCCCCGCCGCGCTGCGCGGTGCCATCCCCACGCGCGTGCGTGAGTGACACACAATGACACAATCTTTTTTTTTTGAAACAAGACACAATGACACAATCGCGCGCCGGGCCAAAGCCACGGACACTCCACGTCAAGATATCCAGCCGCGGGCGCCGGGGCGGAGCACGTCCTGCGCTGCGTCCACGGCCCGTCTCCTCCCCCCACGCCTTTCGCGGCGACCGAGACGGCTCAAGGCAAGGCCCCCATGCCGCCGACGCGACGGGCGGACGGGACGGCGCGGAGCCGAGCACGCCGCGCCGCGCCAAGCCCGCCCGGCGGGACGTCTCGGAGCGGACAGAAAGCCAGCCGGGCAGTGCACCGTCGACCGGGATAAACATAAAAGGCAGCGGATTTCGGTCGACGGCGACGCGCGCGGTGTCGCACACGCCTCGCCTTTCTCGAGCCGGAACAAAGCTCGGGGCCGGGCGTGCGTGCAGAATCGGCTGGGAAAGCGCGGCCGCGTATCAGCCTTTCTCCGTCCTGCTCATGTTTTTCCCCGAATTCCACGGGACAGCAGCCTCGTGCTAAAGCTGCCCGTCCGACACACCCCTCTTTTCTCAGCGACCTTGTGTTTGCACAAGTCACACCCTTGCACTGTCGCTGTTCAATCCAGACCAGTCGCATTACACACAGAAAGATATGAAGTTCAAATGAAATGCTAGCAACTTACTTACTAGAAAAGCGACTTGACATTGGGGGATGGAGATATTTTACATGCATACTACTCGTACTAGCACCGCCAGATTATTGAATCTAGACGGCGGCGAGGGGATACGCTAGGAGTTCATCGCGGCCGAAAAGACAAGCTTTTGCCATGTTAAGACAAGAGAAGAGAGCGCGCACGTTTTCTTAATCCGGCATCATGATACTAGTACCAACTAAGTAGTAGTATTAAAAATGCTACTAGCATCTAGGCTAAGATTTGATTGAGTACGGCGATCGCCACTCCGGACCCCGGACGGCCCGGCTCACGCGCCGTCGACGCCGTCCTTGGTGTCGGCCGCGCCGTCGGCCTTCGGCTCCGTCATGGACCTCAGCAGCGGCGACTCGGACCCTACGGGTTGTGAGAGAAAGCAGAGGGATGTTATCATCTATCGGCCTGAATGCCACCGTCACAGGACGCGGGGACGGAAATGGATGGGGTTTGTGGTACCTTTGGACGCGTTGAAGGAGCGCTTGCAGTGCGCAATGGCGCCCTGGATGCCGTCCTGCAGCTGCAGCAGCGAGTCGTCGCGGCGCTGCGGCTGCGCGGGGGTCGGTGGTGTGGCTGACGGCGACGGCGCGGCCGCCACGGCGGAGGACGCGGACCGGCTCTTGCCGAGGCGCTTGCACGCCTGCTTCAGGCCGGCGGGCACGCTGGCGCGCGGAGCGCGCACGCCGCACGCGACGACGACGGGCTGTGGAGGCGGGGCTGGCGCGGCACGAGACTGGGAGGGGGCGGGGGAGGGTGTCGCGGAAGGAGACGGCGAGGGTTCGGGCTCGGCGTCCGTCTCCTCGCCCTCGCTCGCGCCGGCGAACCGTAGGCGCTCGCCGTAGCGGCGGGAGACCTTGACGTACAGGGGCTTGATTTTGTTCAGGTACTTGAGCATAACCTCCTTGGCGAAGCGCCGCTCCTCGGCGGTGATCGCCACCGCGTCGGAAGGCTGAGGTGCCTGCACTGCCGGCCTGGCCGCGCCGGTGCCAGCGCCGGCGTCGGAGGTGCGAGAGCTGTTGTCACGCGTGAAGAGCGACACAAACGGTGCGTCGTCCACCCGGAACTTGATCAGGAAGCGGTTCGTCTTGGGCGCCGGGGAACCGCCGCCGCCGCCGCCAGCACCACCGGCGTTGCCCTCCGCCGGAACGGGGGCCTTCGGCTTCCTCAGCTTAAGCAGCAGCACGCGGAACTTGGTCGCCGGCCGGAGGAACGACGCCGCCGGGGCTTCTGCCGTCGCAGCAGGCTCCGCCTCCTTCCCGACGCCGTTCTCAGTCTCACTCACCGGCACCACCGGTTCGACGGCGACCACCTCGCCGCCGGACGCGGCGTCGCCGGCGACGGAGAAGTTGAACTCGACCCTCTCTTCCTCCGCGTCCGACGCGGCGCTCTCGTCGCCCGGCACCGCGAACTCGAGGTCGAAGAAGGCCGCGTCGTCCTCGACAACGTCCCCGCCGCCACCGCCAGCGCCTCCTTCGCTGCCGTCTTCGCACGCTGACGCGGCTATGGTCGTGGCCGCGACGGGCGCGCGCTGGTTGCCGGCGACCGCTCCGCCGCGCAGGTACTTGAGGAGGCTGAACGATTCCATCACACCCAGAGAGGCCGAGCTTCACTCACTCAGTCGCCACTCCTCCTGATTGTCTCACTCTCGAGACTCAAATAAAAAGAAAAGACTCTTTCGGGGAGGAGGAGGACAAGGTGGTGGCGCCGCTGCCTCGCATCGACTGGGTAATAGATGAGCTCATGAGCAGCGGCAGGCGGTCAGAGGCGAGGGGCCAGTGAGCGCGGTGGGGCCGACGGTTTCGGCAGGGCCCGTGTCCGTGTGCCGTCTCGCGTGATCTAGCCCGCTCGTCGCCCAATCGGCCGCCAGGATCGAACCAGGCAATGGGTAGGCACCGGATATCTTTGAATTTATTTCTTTGAAACTGTGAGTGACCAGACTTCTCACTGGGATTTTCCATGCTGCGATGGATCATATGGCATGAGTGACGTGGACTTTGGCTGCACATGCTAGGCATGAACTGCTTCGTGTCCGGGATGGGCCGGGCTTTATCTAATCCAAGTTCAACGAGCATCCGACTAGAGACAAAACCCCTATCTATCCAATCGTCACTTGATTTTGTTTGTGCTCATCATCAAGCATCCGATTTGGAGACGACTCGGATGGCTTCTTCTTCTTCTTCCTCACAGAAACAAACGCCTTGTGCGTGCGTGCGTGCGTGCTCACGGATCACAATGATCTCTGCCTCTTCGACCACAGGAGATGCATGCTACACTGAAGCTGATAAAAGCCGATGGGATACTGTCAGACGAGCGCGAGTACCGGCGCTGAGACAGTCGATCGGCTAATAATTTCTTACTTATGACCGAGGTATGCATTTTTTTTTGCTGTAGAATCATGGCAATCATGATGTTCCTCCAATCTTTTTCCTTTTTCTTTCCTTGAAAGAACCCGCGGCTCGGCGTGGCAGCTAGTCAATTCTAGGCGGTGTTCTCGAAGTTGAAACTGCCGCTGTGGACTGTAGTTGATTTGGTGACCTGCACAGCTCACTGTGCAGTTTCCTGTCCGCTGCCGGAAACAGTAATGCGACCATGACCTCTGCGCGCTCATAATAGCCGTCGATTGCGCCGCTACAGGAACTTCCGGGAAATAGAGAGAATTGGAGCATCGTCCTACGCTCTGAACTTCAGAAATGCTAGCGAAAATAAATTGCCGTCAGGTATTCCCTCAAAAATAAAATTGCCGTCAGGTATTAATTCGCCTATAAGAGCAAACTCGATTGTTTTTGGGAGCCTAGAGAGACAGAGAAATAATATACTCCCTCTGCAAAGAAATATAAGAGTGTTTAGATTACTACTTTAATGATCTAAACGCTCCTATATTTGTTTACGGAGGGAGTACACGTTTGTTGTTGTGTTCTTTTCTAACCGGACTAGCAGGGTTGGAAAGGGAGAAAGCGGACTTAAAGCATCAAAACCATCGTACTTGCAAACTAATATGCAGTTGTATGGTCAGCAGGACAGTGATATAAATACGGTCCATCAAAGTCATTGGTGCTTGTATTCAGCTTATGGTGGCGCTCCCTGGCCGGCATGGTGCTCGGCAGCGATTGCTACGTCCGATGGCTCTGCTCCAAGTTTGTTGTGGGCGGATCTGACATGGCGGCTGCTGTTTTGGCGGCCTGTGGCCTTCGCGAGGTGCGGGCGGCTACTCTGCGTCTCTTTGTCAACGGATTGGCCTTGGTTTGGTGGTCTTGCCAACAATGGTGTGGGTCGTTGAGGTGGTGTTTGGAAGCTCGGGTGAAAACCCTGTCCTCGTCTTCGGCCTATGATGAGCGATGGTGACGCCTGCGGGCGTCGTGGACCTTCTTGGAGGCATCGCTGCCTTGCTTCCTCACCCCTCGCGCTCAGGGTGAAAACCCTAAAGTCATGTGATCATACGAAGGCGGCGCCTTGGCGTCGTATCCCCTCTTGAGGGCTTTGTCTTTGGAGCGGGGCATTGGCAAGAGGGACAAGTAGAAGATGGTGGTTGTTGGCGTCAAGGCTTCTGTGGCAACGATGGCCATGGCAAGCGAAGTCGGAGGCGTGGCACTGGTTGCAGTAGCCGACTCTTCTCCGGCGTGTCCATGCGATTACCTCGAGTTGTCTTGTTGCAGTGAAGTTAGAGGTGCAGCGGCGGGGCCCCTATGGCAACGATGACATGCAGCAGGTGGTTTGTTCGGTGGTCTCCCACATTGCCAGCCATGCATAGTTCTTCTTCGGAGCTCTCCGTCAGAGTCGGAGCTGTGTAGCCTTCGGTGCGGGAGGATGGGCACGACACGGTTCGGCTTGTGTTTCCACACTGCCTCTACGATGAGGGTGGGGTCGAGGTTCGTCTTGAGCGAAGTCGGAGTCGCTTGCTCGGAGTCTAGGAAGGGCGATGACGCCTGTTAGGGAGAAGAGACGTCGATGACGTCCGAGTATATCTTGATGAGGCCCTCCTTGTTGAGGTGTGTAGGATATTTTTGTGTGCCGCTCGGCGGTTTGTGACGGTTTTAGCCTGGTTTTCCATTAATACCAGGCAACTCTCTTCTGCTTATTTAACGGATGAGGCAAAACTTTCGCACCCGTTTAAAAAAATATTGGTGCTTGCATTATTTCTAGATTTATTTTAGTCTTTCGGTGATGTCTGTTCAGTGGGAGGAGACGTTCCCATCGACTGTGGTGCATCAATGTAGACTTCGTAAAATCTCAAGATGTTATGCTGGCCCAGTCGCTCAGAAGTTCTGATATGGCTAGAATGTGCATGTGTGCATTCATATGGGTAACTTTATGCTCGTGTATGCGAGCGACTTTGATTGTACCATGTTTAAAAAAACATTGTACTCGACCCCAATCGGCACAAGCATTATCAGATGAAAACCTAATGATGCAACAAAGCTAAGACCTAACAGTTTTGGAACTACTAAAACATGAAGATAAAAGTTCAAACAACATTGGCAAACTACACTTACCTTGCTAGGCAAAATTTCGTGTTTTGACCCTTCTCGCATACTAATTCAGGATCTGATCTCGGTTGCAAAAAAGTTCGGTATTTGACCCTTTTGCTACCGCCAGGGGTTCTGACGGTAGGGTTAGACAGCCTACCGCCAGGGGTTCTGGCGGTAGGGTTAGACAGCCTGCCGCCAGAGTCCCTGGCGGTAGGGTGCGATGGGGGGAGGGGGGACGGCGGCCGTCTCCACATGCTGACGTGGATTAGCACCCTACCGCCAGGGACCCTGGCGGTAGGTTGTCTAACCCTACTACCAGCACCCCTGGCGGTAGGGTATGGCCTGGGTTTTTGCCTCCGAAAGCTTCTATAACGAAAAATCGCAGTGGCCTGGCGATAGGTTAAACCTACCACCGGTGGGGTTGGCAGTAGGCTGTCTAACCCTACCGCTAGGGTCCTTGGCGGTAGGGTCATGTGTTTGCCTCTTTCCAAGTTTAATTGCTTGCTTCTTTTCAAAAACAGTATCACAGCAATGATATAGAGTAAAAAAAACAGATCTCAAACAATTAAACTTGGGCATCACATACGCATTAATAAAAGTTGAACTAAATAGACATGTCAAACGAAGTTCCACATAAACTTGTGCATAATAAGCAAACCAAGTTCAACTACTTAGTTCCACATAGCAAATGGAGTTCCACATTGTTTCACAAATAACAAACACATAGTTCCACGAATAGCAAACACATATTTCAAGTAACAAACACATAGTTTCACAACCACTAGACATTTCAACTACAAGAGCCAAGTATCCAAGAGAAGAATTTAATTGATCCTTCCCCTCTTGGAGGTACGGTCCTCGTTCCTCTTTGAACGAGTCTCTTCAGTCTTCTTCTTGGGCCGTCGAGTAACCGGTCTCTGGAAAGGGTCCGGACTCAGCAAATCCTTCTTCTTCGGATTCCTCTTCGGCAGCTGAGATGGTTGAGATGATTGAGTTGGTGGAGGTCCGTAATCTTCATCGTACTCCTCCCCCCATTGCTCTCATCCTCTTCTTCCTCATGATAGGCCTCCTCCTCCTCTTCTTCATTTGTGGCCTGCTCCTCCTCCTCCTCCTCCTCAACCAACTTAGATGACGAGGGAACATGGCTCGATGAGGCGATGTGACCTTGTGTGGCTGCAGGATGATAAGCTTCAACCGACCCAGCTCCAGCACACCCAAGCAGGCCTACCAGCTTGCGACAATGCTTCACGAACTTCTGCACTCACAATGAAACAAGGGCATAATAAGTATCATATTTATGATTGCAAGTGAACAAGATGCATCTATTCCGAGGAGGCTGAAATTGTACCTTCATCGTCCCCCTCAATTTGTTCTCAGATTGTACGCTCCCGGGGAGAGTAAATTGCATAAAACCACCACTTTGAGGGTTAGGTTTGCGAAAAACACTAGGATACAGATTCGCTGCAGAAAGCACCACGTCTAGCGTAATTGTTTTGCAAAAACCACTGATCGGCGGATCGGGCCGTGTTAAGTGAGTATATGACATGTCGGGCCCGTTTTTCGCCTACGTGGCACTCCAAGCCGTCCCGAGAGCCAGCAGACGGCGTTAGACGGCACCGTTAGGGCTCGTCTTTAGTCATCCCCGCATTCGTCTCTTTTCCCCCATTCTTCTTCCTCCTCCTCCTCGCTCACGCCGCCGTCGCCCTCCCCCATTCTTCTTCCCCCTCCTCGCTCCCGCCGTCGTCGCCCTCCCCCATTCTTCTTCCCCCCTCGCCCCTCACTCCTGCCGCCCCTCACACTGCAGAGATGCGTAGTCCGACGAAAGGTGGAGATGCTAGTGGCGGCGCTCCGCCCGGCAGCGCCGCATGCATCATAGGTAGTGGAGGAGGACCCGCAGTGGATCCAGGCGAGCTTTGCGGGAGCTTGAACCCTAGCAAGCCGACGAAGGAAGAGGAGGATGAGGACCTGTAGTATTCGATGGAATACCGGGCGGCCAGAGCATTCGCCTCGGCGATGAAGGCCAATCCGACGGGAAGCCAACACATCGGGTCATCCTACGGCGGCATATAGTGAGATCCACTTTTCTTTGCTCTTCCCTTCCCGTTCTCCATTCAATTGT